AATATCCAAACATCACAAACCATTATTCATAACTGAAAAGAACAACAAATATTCAAACATTATTCAAACATCACAAACCATTATTCAAACATCACAAGCTGATATCCAAATGAAACCATCAAATATTCCAGAACAACAAACTAAAATCCGACTAATATCCTAAGCCATTCCAACATGGCATCAAATTCGTGGAAAACAGTACAACCCCCACCAAACAACGGAAAACAATACAACATGGCATCGTATTCACTCTTGCTGTTCCAAATTCTGGACAATCGTTTGGACCTTGTCCCTTCGAGCCACCCACTTTTCATCATGCTCTCAGTGATTTTCCTTCAATCCCTTAAGCTACACATATGTTGTGAAAATATTTAGGTTACTTTATCGTCCAAGTCTACCAATGCACGATCTTAGTTAGGGAGGAAGAAAACATTTTACCTGCCCTAGCGAAAGGCTAGTCAATCTTCAGTCTCCCACCATTCCGCGGTGGGCAAACGGTGCACGATCTGGATGAGGAGCTGAACTGCTCCGCAACTGACTGCACTAGCTGCCCGGCTGGAGCTGCCTGCGAGAGGCGATTTCTTCCCTACTCAGCAGAGCGGCAGCTAGGTCATATCTTCCCATGACTAAGGGGATAGATGTGGTTGCCCCTCTCGACACTTTGCTTCCACCAAAACCGGCAGCTAGGGATGGTCTTTGTGTGCAAACCCGCCTAGTTTTAGAGAGTCCAACATATGGAGCTGTAAAAAAATTACAATTAATAAATGTTAAGTTCCATTTTCTAGCAATTTAATCAACAAATATCCAGAGTCAACACAAACAGAATCTTATGTGACTAAACTGATATCCAGAAATCATTTAAGCTAGTTTTCATGCAAAGTGTATCTTATGTGACTAAACAAATATCCAGCAGATCATACCCAAAATACGAATTCACTAGTTTTCATGCAATTGAACCAACAAGTATAGAAAAGGGTTAGGACTTACTGTCAAGAAGTAGCAATCTCCGAGAACCCACACGCACGGCGAGCCCAACGCCCTTGCACTATGTTCTTTTTCTTGGCAACAGTCAACTCTACTTTCAGTTCACGGACAACAAATGTACACCAATCGTACACCCTCACGTCCTCAAACACTCCCGCCTAGGTATGGTGCGAAGTCCAGCTTGCACCTCCGAGAAAATGTCGGCACGAGCATCGAACCAGTAGCTAGCAGCAAGAATTGCTTGACAGCAATTACAACAGGTGGTCTAGGACCGTTGACTGGAATGGCCAACTCCCGCATCTGCTTGATAGAAACCATGCGAGCCCTGTTCGAAATCATGCCAACTTCCTCGCTGAAACTATCAAGCATCCCCCCTCAACGTTCTTCAAATCAATCACAGCCCCACCGAGAGGAAGGTCGTAGACACGTGCCACATCCTCAGCTGTGAAGTCGAAGACCTTCTTCGAGTCTCCTTCCCCAAAAACAAAAGTACTGGATGAGGAGTTATAAGCAGCCATCAAGTCGTCCATGAAGACATTGGGTATCTTCGGCATGCGAAGCTCCAATAGGCCCCCGAATCCTGCCTTCTCGACTTCTTTCTTGCAGGCTGCATAGTATTCAGCATCTTCTTTCCAGTAGTTTATAATTTTGAAGAGGGAATAGGTGAACCCACGAAATCTGAAATATGAGCCGCAGGGACCCTCTCCCTCATCATCTTCTTCCTCATCTTCCTCCTCACCTTCTGGAATAGCAGGCGGTGGCTGCCTTGATTTTTCTCCTTGACGAGATCTCGATGCAACCATTTTTCGTTCTCTTCATCCCGGGTTGTTCCTGAAACACAGTTATATATTAAGCAAAATATCCATAATCCTTGGACAAATAACTAAAACGCACACTTATATACAATACAATTATCGTAGTAAAGCAAAAGTGTATCCAAACGGAGATAACTGATATCCATGAAAAAATATCCATAATACCCAGAAAAATAACTAAAACGAACAGTTAAGTATCCAACTTAACAGAACTGATATCCACACATCAAACATATTATATTATTTTTAGCCAATACATACAATTATTATCGTAGTCAAGCAAAAGTGTATCCAAACGGAGATAACTGATATCCATGAAAAAATATCCATAATACCCAGAAAATAACTAAAACGAACAGTTAAGTATCCAACTTAACAGAACTGATATCCACACATCAGACACATTAGATTATTTTTTAGCCAATACATACAATTATTATCGTAGTAAAGCAAAAGTGTATCCAAACGGAGATAACTGATATCCATGAAAAAAATATCCATAATATCCAGAAAAATAACTAAAACGAACAGTTAAGCATCCAACTTAACAGAACTGATATCCACACATCAGACACATTAGATTATTTTTTAAGCCAATACATACATTTATTATCGTAGTAAAGCAAAAGTGTATCCAAACGGAGATAACTGATATCCATGAAAAAATATCCATAATGCCCAGAAAATTAACTAAAAAACAGTTAAGTATCCAGATTAACAGAACTGATATCCACACATCAGACACATCAATTTATTTTTTTTAGCCAATATAACTAATGGAGAAACGAAGTGAGAAATCAAACCTTTGGTGGTGGTTCATCCGGCGGCTGCTGTGATGATCCAGCTGCTTCACGAGATTTCGCTGAAGATTTTGGTGCAACAGTTTTGGATTTCTTCCTCACGGGTTGTTCCTGAAACATAGTTAGATATTAAGAAAACTATCGGTCAATGAAAATATTAAAATGCATCCGACTAGTAATTTTTAGCCAACATAACCAATCGAGAAACAGAGTAAGAAATGAAACCTCTTGTTGTTGTACATCCGGTGGCTGCTTTGATGATCCTTCTCCCTCATTGTTGGGCTTTGAGTTCTTTTTCGGTCTCCCCATTCACTGAAACAATATAAAAAATGACCACAATAAGTATCGGAATTGACAAAACTGATATCCATATAACCTTTAACCAAGGAATCGACAAATGATACCCAGATTCAACAAAATCGTATCCAACAACCCCCCAAAATGGAATTCGAGAAACCATAATGAAACAATATATAAAATGACCAGAATAAGTATCACAATTGACAAAACTGATATCCATATAATCTTTAACCAAGGAATCGACAAATGATACCCAGATTCAACAAAATCGTATCCAACAAACCCCCAAAATGGAATTCGAGAAACCATAATGAAACAATATATAAAATGACCAGAATAAGTATCGGATGTGACAAAACTAATATCCATGTAACATTTAATCAAGGAATCAACAAACAATACCTAGATTCCCCAAAATCGTATCCAACAAACCCCCAAAATGGAATTCGAGAAACAATAAATCTGGTAACTAGAAAAAAAACCAGAGCCCCAAAATTCGAACCCACAGACCCAGAATCTGGTAATCTACAAACAAAACCCTAAACACCCATATTCGAATCCATGAAACCCTAAATCTACAAATCGAAAAACGAATCCCTAAACCCCCAAAACAAAACCCTAAACCCCAAATTCGAATCCCACGGACACAATATCTGGAAATCTAGAATCAAAACCCTAAACACCCTAAATCGAATTGCATGAACCATAAATTATCAAATCCATAAACAAAACCCAGATTTCCACAAAAAAAAATCCATGAAACCGAAACCCTAACATAAATATTCAAATCCACAAACAAAATGAACAATAAAGAGAGAAGTAGAACTACCTCGGCGTCTTCTTCTACCTCCAACTATCGGCGGCGACGGCGGCGGAGTTCTTTGTCGGCAAAGTCGGCGGCGTCTTCTTCTTTCTTCTTCGTCGGCGGCGTCTTCTTCCTCGTCGGTCGGGATAGCTTCAAGGGCCATGTCGGCGGTATATCCAGCAAGCGGTCGCCGACCTCGCAGCCGTCGTCGCCGTCGAAGATCGTCGCTGTTGGTGGTGGTTTTCGGGAGAAAAGAAAAAGAGAGTGAGAGGGTTCGAAAGTTGGAGAGAGAGGGGAGAATGGCTGACCGCGGGTTGAGGTTGGGTTTTGCGCGGGTTTGAAATTTTGGGTTTTAGTTTTTTTTATTTATTTCTGGCCCACTTTTCCCAAAAGTGGTTCGGCTTGGCCCAAAAATCCCTCCCCCCTCACAGAACAGCGCCGGCGATCCTCACCCTCCGATGGTGGCTCGGCGACGTGGCCCTTCATTCGACCCTGTTAGTATCTGCTAACCACTTAAAGGGTTAGCATATTAACGCTATTGCAATTGCATGGTCTTTTTTTTATTATCAAATGTGCTAATTGGTTGATTGACGCAAATCCGATTGTTGGAGCTATTGGTTATATGTTGTTTGATTTGACTTATATGTACTCGATGTTGGTTTTCTGGTTTGTATGCATGATATCCACTTGATCTTGTTAGACCTTTTGATGAAACGTGATCCACAGTGGGAGAAAACGGTTGGCTCTGGGCTCAAATCGGTTGAGATCCGAAGCAACCCGAATTGCACCCATGGACGCACCTTCTGCATTGTGAGGACAGATGGGTCCAAGGAGGACTTCAGTTTCGAGGCTTGTGCTGACCACATTTTCAAGGGACAAGGTGAATATGATGATGGAGCAAATTATGAAGTAATAAATTAGACGAAGCCACCAAAAGACGTGGTCGTCGCTTTCGCTGCCTAACTGGTTGTTTCCGAGTCGAAGAGAATTAGTATCTTGAGTATATTCTATCTATCATAAGACATGTAAAAATTGTACCGTTCCTTAGTGTCCATCCAATGGGTAACCTTTTGGTTATTTCCCACAATTTAGGGACCAATAGTGTAATTATATTCTTCTTTTGTTTATTCTTTCTATTCCTCTCTCTTGCTTTATTCCCATCCACTCAAATTCACTCTTTCCCGTAAACCCTCCCTCCCACACACCAACCAATCTTCATCTCTCCTTTCTCTCTCCATGGAAGAAGAACAGAAGACAGCAGAATCAAGAAGTTTCTCAATAAAAAAAAAGGAGGAAGAAAAAGAGAAAGGAGGCGGAAGGGAGGAATGAAAAACCCGCCCACCTGTGCTTTCCGTCTCTCCGCGATCCAGCTCCGACGTTGTCACTTTTCCTCTCTACGATTGCAAATCTCTGAAATCGGCGATGCAGCGGCAAGCTTGCCAAGGAAGGAGGGTGTTCGACGGTTGGTCGTCTAGATCGTGAGTTTTACTATGTTCTCAGATTATCGACGACGATCTCATTTTTTCTACATCTGCTTTCTCTCTCCGTTAATTTCTCTGAGTTTCTTTGTTCTTTGTTCCCTAAGAGAAGGGAAGGTGTGGACGACGCCGGTGCGATGTGAAGGTCGGTAATGGATGTGGTGATAGTCTCAGCGATGAGTGAGCCGTTTCTCTTTTTGAATATTTTATGTTTTGGTTTTTTTTTTGTTTGGCTTGAATCCTGGATGCTTATCTTTTATTTCTGGGTTTTGGTATCGTACGTGATTCGTCCACCGACGCCGGCTGTTTCACAACAGAGGAAACATGGCCTGTCGCCGATGGATAGTTATCAACGGCGGGTAAGTTATTTTTGTGTAGTTATTTCCATTTTCAGTTTTGGTATGTTAGGATTTTTTATTTTACGTTATGGTAATCTGATCGGACCTTTTCTTTTTGGGTTTTTGGGTGAGGGCAATAGGAAGGATAATGTAGGAGCTGTTGCCGGTGTATATTTCCGAAGGCGACAAAGGCAAGCAGGGCTAGCCGTTGCTCTCTAGGTAACCTTCTTCTTTTGGGGTTTTTATTTTGTTTTGATTCTCGATGACGCCTTTCTTTGGAGTGGTACAGATTCAGCATGGCAGTGGGGTGGGGATAAAGGGAAGGTTAGCAAAACATGAGAATTGAAGTCCATATATTAATGAAATAAGCAATTTTAGAGAAAAGTGGGGCATGAATCATTGGAAATCTTGATATAGTTAGGAATCTTCCAAGTCATCTGTTGACTTCATTGGTATTCTTTCCAGAAAGTTACTCCTATGAGAACAAAATCCAGTAACAAGGGTCGATTTTAATTGCTCGCATGGAGAGTGGGGAAGACATGTTCATTGCATGCAAATGATGATTTCCCAAGAAACCTGCAGCAAACAACTTGGAATTGGCATGGGTTATTGGGGTTCAATCTACTTGAAATTGCTTTATTCAACCTATACATCGGTGTTTTCAATCTACGAGCATATTTTGAGTTCATGGTTTAATTGATTTTTCAGTTTTTGAATTTTGTTTTCAACTGTTGCGTGATGGTGCTTTTGGGTTTCAGATGGTGGCACCAAAAATTGTATACTGGGATTTTCACTTTTGGTTTCAGTCTTCCAATTTTTCATGTTATCTTTTGATCATACACAATCTAATTGATGTTCTTAAGGTTGGTACTTTCCTAGATTAAGTTCCTTTTGGAAGTTCAGATGCTTGATTAATGCCATGAAACTCTCTAGCATACTCATTCCTTGCTTTGACCTCATTTTAGTTGATTTCGAGTTGGTTGATAGTCTCTATGAATTTTAGGAACATCAGATGCCTGGATGTGAGTTATTGGATCCACGGTGTTTGGGAGTTTGTTGATTTCTGTACGAAAAGGGTGGACATCCTTCCGTTTGAGGTAATCTACTGGTTTGTTCAATATGAAAAGTCACTTGCCTCTCAGTCTGGTTTTTTATTGACACTTGCTTCTCTAAACTAAAAATAACCAACTCTTTCAATTTTTATATGCTCTCACTTAAGAATATGTTGTTGAGAGTAATGCCTAATGTGGTGTCGTTGTTCAGCTTCTTTTGATTATTGGGATGAGTAAATACTATTAATGGTTCTCATAAGTCGTTGGGATGCGAGGATCTGGCTGGTGCTGAACTCTTTTCTGTTCACGAATCCTTAATTGTCTGTATAATAGTTCAATTATAGCTTGTGGTTTGGCTATCTCAGGTTGTTTAGGAATGGCTGGCCTTGATTAATAACTAAGTATGCAGAGATTTGAAAGGATACCATGTTGCTGGTTCTTATAGTGTTATATTCTGCCTTTTTTTTTTTTTTTTTGCAGGGGAATGGTGCAAGGGAGGTTGTCAGGGAAACAACGAAGGATTATTTCTGGCCAGGGCAAAGGTGGAGGTTAGACCTCTGAATAGACTAGGGGAGGGAAGGTACACGGGATTACAAGCATATCCACGCCTTAACACGAAAACCACTGGTTTTGAATGATGGGATCTACAATTCGCTTAGATGCTGAAATCGAAAGGTATGTGATGATCTTCGTTTCCTGTTTTAAAATTATGCTCTCTTGCACGTGAGAGTTTGTTTAATCCTTCCCGTAGGAAATACAGCCTGTGCAGTATTACAGATTGCACTCATCAGATGACATTGTTGAATGCCTGCTGAAATTTCATTCTTAACCTTCATTCTCCAATTTTTGTGTGTTTGGGTTTGTTTACCATCTCTTTTCTATTGAAGGATCCTTATTTGTCTGTATACTGAGTTCGATTACAGTTGGTGGTTTAGCTATCTCTGGTTGTTTACACAGCATTGGCCTCGATTCACAACAGTTTGTAGAGATATTAGAGGATACCGTGTGTTGGTTTTTAACTTCTTATATGATTATCTGATTGATTTGTTGCTTCCTTTTCAAAATGGTTTGTTCACTTTTTCCTGAAGCTTCATTGGTGGTTTTGTATCCTTTTTTAGAACAAAGGATGTCGTGATTTTCCAAACAGCCTTCTTTGGTTTTACTGTGTTGAGTGGAAGTCATCCACCCCTTTTTATCTACATGTAAAAAAACAGATGGGTGTTTCAAAACCAATTTCATTCTTATTAAATTGTTTTTCAACTGTGTTGGGCTGAAGATCCCCTCCGTAGTAGATTTTTTTTTACCTCAGGTGGAATATCACTATGATTACTTGAGGTTCGTTCCTTCTTTAACTTCTACTTTTATTCCTTTTACATTTTTTGTTTCCTAATGTGTTCCCGGTTCTTTGTTTTTCCTTTTTCGCAGTGTTTTGCAGTACCAATAGGGAATGACTTGCAGATGCAGTCGAGAGGACGAGAAAAGCATGCTTTGATCTCATTTTCTCTCTCAATTGGTATTAGTCTATTCACAATTTAGATTATAGCATTGTAGTAACTGGCCGTCCTCATTAGAAAATAATCATGTACGATACACAGTTGCCTTCAGCATTCAAAAGCTGTTAATGTAGGCATAATCTCTTTTGTAATTTTGCTAATGTTATCGTTCTTAACATTGATTGGCCGATTACCGGTTAAACAATCATCCCAACAATTTTGAGTCCCGCCGCGCAGCGCGGGCATTCCGTCCTAGTAGTAATGTAACTGATGAAGTATAACTGAATGTCACTTCTGATTGGGGAAGTTTCAATCATGCTTTAGAATCTTTAGAATGGGAGAATGTATGGAAGGAATGGTATGGGAAATGTCTTTTGGATGTAATTTTCTAAGTGGCTAAACATTGGCGAGCACGACTTTCATTAAGTAGCTACTTTTTTTTTTCTTTTGCAATTTAGCCTTCAAGCATTTTATGCAATCTATCATGTATTTTAGGCAATCTATCAGGACCAAGTTACATCCCAATAACAAATGTTATTGAAGTGGAAACTTTCAGGGACATTAAGGTGGCTTGCTAGTTAATATATATAAAGCACAAGTGAGGTTACTGTTGCCTAAACTCACTAGTTGATTGTGCGGCTATACATTTAACATTTTGATACCCCAAATTTAATTAAATTACAATTTAGTCATTATAATGTACATTTTATATTTTGATACCCCAAATTTAATTTTAATGTAAAATCATTGAACAATTATGTTTCGGTATCTAAATTTTATGAGATTTTCATACCTACAATTTTTTAAAATTTACATATTGGTCCAATGTTTAGATTTCACTTGAATCCATGCTAAATTACACGTTTAGTCACTCAAATTATACAAATCTTTCACGTTTGCCATCCGAATTACTTTTCTTTCTTATTCGCCACTAACTTTACGAATCGTTTCACGGTTGGTCACCGGCCGTTACACTCCGTTAAGTTTGTCCTACGTGGCAGTCAACTATAAAGTTTGACCGTTAACTAGATGACGTGGAAATTAAAAAAATAAAATAAAAAATTTCTTTCCACCTCATCATTGCACTTATTTTATCTATATAATTTATCATATTAATAATTTAATAAAATTTAATAAATTACAAAAATTGACAAATCCAAATGCATCCTCACCCTCACCATCCACTCCCTCTTCTCCTCCTCCGTAGACGTCGACAACAGCGTCCCTGCCGCCGCCAGCAAGAGGAGGGGAACTACTACGCCTTCAAGCGCGGGCCTTCCGCCCTGCCGCTGTTCAATTGGGCCGATCACCCTTCCTCAATCACCGACGCCGTGGAGAACGGATGGACCCGATTCGGCTTCGTCGCCGCACAACCGACGACTGTTTCCGGCTCCGTCAGAAACTCGATGTTCCTATGGTTGAAGAGAAGAAAGGTTCTGATTTCTACAGCACTATTTTACCTGCAACGGTTACTAGTGACCATCTTTTGGAATCTGTGGTATCTAGGGCCCACTCTAGCACGAAGCAGAACTCGGATGACAGCAATTCAAGTAGAACGACTGTGACCAAGGCAAGCAGTCCTTCTATTCCTAGTGCGCATCATACGTATGGCCTCGTTAGCGTGCCTGACCCGGTGAAAAGGGAAACTTTTGACCTTCCAGGAAGAGGTAGAACAACAACGGATGACGTGGGAAGTTGTTCTCAGACGACTTCATTTTATGGATCTCAGCTGAGTTCACTTGGTAGCCATAATGGGAGGCGGGACAATAGTATATCAACATCTGGATTTCCCAAGAAGAATGAAGAATCAAGCAACAAACCTAACCGTAAGCGGCTGAAGCCTGGAGAAAATCCTAGGCCTAGGCCCAAGGATCGCCAAATGATCCAAGATCGCGTGAAGGAGTTGCGCGACATTGTACCAAATGGAGGCAAGGTAATTAGTTTCCTTGTTATTATTATCCTTATGTACTTTTTATTTATTTATTTATTTCCTAACGTTGAAGGTTGACACTTTTCTTTGGATGATAATGTGATTTGTTAACAGTGTAGTATTGATGCTCTTCTTGAACGCACCATTAAGCATATGCTTTTCCTGCAAAGTGTTACCAAGCATGCCGACAAGCTCAAGCATACTGCGGAATCAAAGGTAATTTGTTGCTTGTAAGGCAATTAACTTGGAATGTATGCCTGACAATTAGGCGGAAGTTAATTTGTTATGTTGTTGATTCAAACAAGCAGTTTATTAGAAAAGACGGCGGAGTACTCTTGAAGGATAATTTTGAGGGAGGGGCAACAATTTCGTACTCCCGCGGCGGTGGCGGGGAAGGGGAGGAGCAGAGTCAGAGGAGCCGGTCGTCGGCGGCGGCGAGGAAGGGGGATGGTGGCGGGGAAGGGGAGAAGATTAAATTGATTCGGGAAATTTCGAATCGAATTCGAATTCGGCGGCTTTGCTCCACGTCAGCAGCAGCGAGAGGATTAATAGGATTGAGGAGCTGAGGGTTTCCTCCGGTGGGAAGGATGAGAACAGGGGCGACGGTGTTGCGGTGGCGGTGGAAAGGATGAGAACAGAGGCACGAGCTTGGATTTGCCCATTATTTATTAAATTTTATTAAATTATTAATATGATAAATTATATAAACAAAATAAGTGCAATGATGAGGTGGAAAGAAATTTTTTTTTTTTAATTTCCACGTCACCTAGTTAACGGTCAAACTTTATAGTTGACTGCCACGTAGGACAAACTTAACGGAGTGTAACGGCCAGTGACCAACCGTGAAATGATTCGTAAAGTTAGTGGCGAATGAGAAAGAAAAGTAATTCGGGTGGCAAACGTGAAAGATTTGTATAATTTGAGTGACCAAACGTGTAATTTAGCCCTTGAATCCATGAATCCAATTCACTAATCCTTTTGAACCAATCCATGAATCTAATCCACCATAACATAAAAGTATAAATTTAGTTTGTATCATACAAGATGTTGTATTACTCAAGTGTAGGAGAGGATTCGACCATTTTATATGTGCTCATTACGTGAAACATTAAATAAATGATAAAAGAGAGATGACTCTAAAATATTGAAAGAACGATTTTATAAACTCATTTAGTACGTTTACGGGATACTAAACATACTTCCACTAACTACATGCAACAAAATATGCGACATCTACATAAGCATGTGTCAATAAATTGCTACGGTGAAAATGGTTGACTGTTGTATTGACGGCCAACTAAAAGAATTGGTCAAAACATTTCCATCATCTACTTACTCTTCGTTTCATTTTTCACTCGCCTTCCATAACCCTTTCTTTATTTCTTTCTTTGTCTTCTTCGTCTAACCCTAATTAGTATACAATTTTTATGTATTCTAATCACAAGTATGAACGAGTCCATACACGACTCACCAGCAGTCTAGAGAAATAAATATTGAACTATGAACCAATACTTTTTCAACTCAATGTCAAGTTCAATTAAATATAAATATATATGGTTATTACTTATTAGAAAGTCATTATTTTCCACTATGGGATTTGACAACATGAAATTTTAAACGAGTTCTAGTTTGTATTCCTTTTCTTATCTCTAGAGTTTTCTTTTTCACCAGAGCTAGAATTTTCAACAATTATACATGGAATGTTTGGCTAGGTATATACACATATCAAATAATAGTTTCCATTTTTCTATAAAAAAGTAAATAATTATCATCTTAAATACATCACCATAAAAGAAATTAATCCTCAACTATGCAAATTACAGTTTGGTACCTAAACTTAATTGATCTTTAAATTTATAACCTAAAATTATTTTTTTTGGCACATAAGTCCTCAAAATATTGATGGAACATTACATTTTAGTACCTAAAATTTCTGTGTATGACATTTTGGTACCTAAACTTTTGAAGTTCTACTAGTAGGTCTAATTTTTGTATGTGTAATTAAAACACTCTCGAATTAATGGATATTCATACCCAACTCATACACATTTAAATTATTGAAGTAAATATCCATACCCTACCCAAACTCATCTACAAACTTCCAAACCCATATATACGTCACCCATGCCCTACCCATAATCAATGGGTCTACTTGGTTTAGGTGAATATAATTTATTAGCCAAAATTTTCAGAATTTATTAAATTGAATGTGCACCACCATATATCTCTTCTCAATCAATATCATATCATATTGTCTAAGTCAATATTACTAACAAAACTGCTAACAAAAAATTAATTTTAGACTAATAATACTAACAAAACACTATAACAGGCCACATAATACATGTCCATAAGCCATCTCTGCTCCGCGGCAAGGCGCGACATTGCCACCTAATTATTATATAAAACTCACATTCTTTACATTGCCCTTATTGTCACAGTAACCATCCCTATACAAGGTGGGCACCATATCCCATTAAACCTGATGAGTTCCCAATAAACTTTGGGGATTGCTAAATGTCGCCCTAACTTATGTAATCTCCCTAACTTAATACATAAGATTTTACTTTTATACCCTTTTATTTTGTTGACATTAGCAACCATCACTACTTTGTTGCTGACGATACTCGTTGTAGCTATCACCGGCTGCCGCCACCACTGCCCACTTCCGAAAATTGTGAAAAATGGTGACCAACATCTTTCCTAAAAACTACAAGAAAAGCTTGATTACCATTTCTTCTTTTCATCTTCTATGTAGCATTAATGGTTCTCCATGGCTGCAAGCAATAATTTCAACTTTTACTAACTGCGGTGGTATAGATAGAAAAGGAGCGGGGATCCGCTTTTATAGAGGACCACAACGGGAGTTTTTTTTCCAGAAATAACACCTTTTTAAAAAAAAATTACAAAACTAGCATCCTTCCAAAAATATTTACAAAACTAGCACCCTTTTTTATGGACCGCACCCTTGAGGTGCGGTCCATTTTCCTGGGTCGAAACCGCATCTTGGCCATGCGGTTTCACGTCTGCCCTACACAAACCGCATGGCCGAGGTGCGGTTTTGGCCTGACCTAGGCAAACCGCACCTTAGAGATGCGGTTTATTCCTCCAAAACCAAACCGCATATCTAAGGTGCGGTTTAGCCACACAGACCGCACCCCCCAAGTGCGGTCTATGTGTCAATTATTTTCCGACACCCGACAATCACCCATGCAGAATTATAGACGTAGGGCTGCATGGCAGACCAAAACCGCACCTTAGAGGTGCGGTTTTCCTCATTTTTTTGCCTATATAAGACTGCCCGGAAAACCTCTACTCTTCACACCTCTCCTTCTCCCATTTCAATTTTCTGTTGTATCTATATTTCTTTAGTGTTTTTGCCATTAACATTAACTCGTAAGTTTATTTTGTGTTACTTTTTATTGTTATTTGTGATTTGTGATTTTTATGATATTAACTGAACTACGGTTTTTTTTTTTGTGCAGATGGCATTCCGCCAGTTCACGCTTGGCTTACGGTGGAATGGTTACACGGAAGAGACCGGAAAGGGGGCCACCTACGTCGGTGGCAATTTTCAGAAAATAAAGGTCGCTACCAGACCGAAGTTTGAAGACCTCCATCAAATATGCACTAACGTTACTTGCATGGATGGCACGAGAAGAGTAGATCGTATGGTGTACCGATATCCAAACAGAGAAAGTGGGCCATTGTGGCATGAGGAATATACCATAACCACTCAAGATGAAGTAGATTCCATGCTCGAATTCTTGAGGTCCAACAAATTGGCCAAAGTCGAGATGTTCGTTTACACCGAGCCAGCCGTTGGCGTTGGAGGTCATTCTGGACACGGCCAAACATCTGGTATCCATGGTGGAGGTGAATTATATGGCGATCATCCCTACCAAAGTTACCATGATCCTCATTCCTATTTTCAGTACCAAGAGCAAGGTGAAGGCCATCATCAATCTTTCCCGTCATATGAAGAAGAAGTTCAACCGGACCTCCCCAACCAACCCCAGTACAACTTCCAATCAGGCAGCGGTAGTTTTCACAACTACCATTATGGAGCTGATGAAGGTGCCTTTCATGAGCTGGATCAGATGGAAGCTGCCATGCCAGCACCAGTCAGAGACCCCTCCGATGAAGGAGAGAACAACGTTAGTGCAGACAGCTCTGACCCTCTTGAAGGTGCTGATGATTCAGGACTAGAGTCAGATTCAGATAATAATGATGATGTGGCTCCTGACCGTGTACCAGTCCCCTACTACAATCACATTCCAGATGACAATTGGATGGTCGACAGCGACATGGAGCCGCCAGAGGTCCCAATATGGGGCCCACTCACTGGGTTTACGAAGGGCCAACAATTTGGCTCAAAGAAGGAGGTGCGGCACGCCGGTCATGACCGTGTACCAGTCTCTTAATACCCAATTTTCCCAGGAAATGGGAGGATATGATAATCGCTTAAAACCCCATTTCCTTAGACGTGCATCTCTTTATAAAGAGTCGAAGTAAGTGGTGCTATGTATTCGATTAAATTATTGAAAACAACCAACACGATTAAAAATTGAACATAAATTTATACCCATCAGACCGCACCCTTCAGGGGCGGTCTGGTAATTTTGCCCCCAGCAGAAATCGCTCCATCTCGATGCGGTCCGAGATTCCCGAGGAGCTGACCGCTCCTTCCTGAAGCGTTTCGAGATTCCCGAGGAGCTGACCGCTCCTTCCTGATGCGCTCCCCGATCCGTGGCGCGGATCGCTGAGTTGGTGTGCCGTCCGCCGTCCGATCGCCACTCAATCCAACGGTCTGGAAGACCATGCGGCAGAGAAAGCACAACGCACCCTCAAGGTGCGATTCGCCTGCTGATGTGGCACGGAACGCACCTCTAAGGTGCGGTTCGTTTATAAAACGCACCTTAGGGGTGCGTTCCGTTAGAAAAGGTGCTACAATTGTAAATTTTGTTATTTGGGTGCTAGTTTTGTAATTTTTTTTTAATGGTGCTAGAATTGGAAAAAACTCCCACAACGGTGGCAGCCTGGCAGGACAGGGGGTCGTTTGGTTTGTTTTTGTTCGCGGCAACGTCATTTGAAGTGCAGGTGATCGAGAGTTGTTTTGGAGTGCAGGGAGTCGCGCCGGCGCCGACAAGGGGTCGTTTAATTGCTTTCTACGCAGGTGCCGTTTAATTGCTTTACTATGACGAAGATAGCGGATTAGGGATTTTAAAGCCTGTTTGATTTATTTTATTTTTATTTGGTTAACGAAGGATAATTTAGTAATTATATATTTTAAGTTAGGTCGATAACAGTAAAACTAGGGCGATGTTTAGCCATTCAGTAAACTTTCCGCCTTGAAGTATATTTTTTAGATAAATCATATGATTTATTTTGTCACAAATAAATAATTCATTGACTTATGTGACAGAATCACCTATTTTGCAACCCAACGAACCGATTAATTATTTAATTTGTGTTATCTCTAAATAACTAGAAAATGAATTATTCTAAATAACTCTTACCCTTGTTATATCTAAACAGCTCATTTCCCCCTTATTTTTTCCAATTTGTAGCTCCTCTTTCCGCTACTTTTTAATACACTATGAGTCTATGACATTTGCCCATGATACCAAATATTATATGCAAATAACTCACAAATTTTCTTCATTCAAGGCATTTCTACTCCTAAATGACAAACAAATACCACAATTGAAATTTGTGACTTGTGAGTTATTTATACACAAATACCACACCACAATCAATAACCCATCCAAACAGTCCTTTTATTAGTGGTTAAAATTGTGCATGACAAATGGGAAGGTTCGAACCGATGAACCTGTGAAGAAACATAGACATGCACCCACGGTATAATCAAGCGATCGTATTGAAGAATGGTACACAAACCAAAACACTTGACTCGGTGCTAGAGACAGTATTCTCCAGTTCTCCACAAAACTCCTCCAGTATTCATTTACACCCTTCACATCTTCTCAGTAACACATGAAACCGATGCTCATCATAAAACAAAGGAAGACAAACAACAAAATACGTCCACATTTGCTACTAGTTCCCGCTATGAAGTCATAGAAAGAATTTAGAACTACCGTAACAATGAAAGAAAAAAAGAAAAGAGAAGCAAGTGAATTTATACCCTAAGCAATTACAATCAGCTATCATATCTTGGGATATACATAAACCTCCTGTATTTTAGGCAATCTATCACGCCCAAGTTCCGTCACAAACAATAGCAGGCAGTATGCTATGCCAGTCTCTTTCGATATATAGAAATGCCAACCAACCTGGCGTGCATGCTTTACAGAAGCAAACCCATGTCAAAAGTTTCTACTTTAATCGCAGCTTATGTATCCTTCTCTTCTAACGCTGAACACATCGAACTCATTTTCCTTACTAACAGGTGTTATTGAAGTGGAAACTGCCGGCAACATTAAGCTGGTTTGCTAGTCGGAGGACTGCAGACCTCACTACTTCAGACCCCGCAGAGACAGAAACTGGAAGTTGTGGTACACAGGCAGGGGCACATTCTTCGATGTGGCCTGGAGGGCTGAAGAACAAGAGCACAGATCGGCAGAATATGAATCTGGAGAGGCATACGAATTGAAGACAATGGTTAGTCCCAATTGGGTAAACTCATCCACTGATTTGGGTCATATGACCTGTATATTAAGACCAGGAGGGTTGCAAGGTCTGGTCGAGTCCAAAACCGGATCAAATCAGCATAGCTCCGAATCAAGAGCAAAGAGAAACATGCAGAAAAGAGTGGGATCAAATGTTTATTCAGTTTGATTCAAAATCCAATTTCGATTTGGCTTGCTTTTTTCTTTTAAGAGGATCTATGGAATTGATATATATTCAGAATTTTTTCAGTCGAAATGTCAATTTGATGAGATAAGTTTGGTGCTTGACAAAATCATTGGACATCCCTATTTAAGGTAGGAATATACCTTAGGATAAGGCGGCGCAAAAATGGATCAAGCATGACTTGTGCCCAGACAAGGTCGAGGTTCCTTGAAGTACAAAGAATCACCTCCCACTGAGAAAATGCAGTGGCAAGTGTTTCCTCGGCATTGTTGTAATCATCCTAAACGAAAACAATCTCACAGTTCAGAAATACTAGTGAAAGAAGGAAAACATGCAGAACACCACATTACTAAACTTACTGTATCGACATCAGAAGTGTTGTGGTCAACCATTTGGCAGAATGCTTGCAGTGGGGAAGTCAAGAAAAAGGTAAACTGACTTCCACTGTGAATTGCACTGTTGACAAAGGATGCATTCTTAAATGACGGCCTCAAGGGTGAAAGCAGTAAGGCAACGGGTTCTCCCCTTTCTGCACCATGTAACACCTGCAAGTTCAGAATTGGATGTGTAAGCTACTTCAGCTGATTTATGAATCACAGGTCGAGCTAGCCCAACTGCCCAGATAGTTAATATTCAGGGGAACAATCAAAAGGAAATATCTGGACTAAGCGGGATAGCCACTGATCAGTATATAGCCGGTGCAAAGAGCGAAATTGTCTGACGAGTTATAACAAACCTGCCTTGAATGCATGGCTGTTGTCACTATCAATGATCAGAAAAAGAGGCTTTCTAGTGAAAGGAATTATATCACCCGGGTGAAGGATATTAGTTCCTGAAAATCCAGGAAAAACCGGACTTAGAAATGAGCAACAAAAGGACAAAGCTTCATCATCATCCCAAAATACAAGAAAACGAAGTAAAGGGAGAAAAGCATACCACCATTGCTCCTAGGACCCAACCAAAGGTAATCACTATAGTAGTCACTGGCCTCTGCCTTTCCATTGCTTAGATTTTCAGCTCTCGAGTTATTTTGTTCCCTAAGACTGCCAGAAACAGCTTTTCCTTTTGAGGATCTCCTTGATCCATCAGGGCCATCCATGCGCGAAACAGTACCTTGACTACTCTTCCCTGTATGATTGATTTTAATAGATTATTTAACCTAGCAGCAAGACAACCCATTGCAGAAACTTTGAACTAAAGAGGCATAATTAACCTGAAGCTGAAAGATAAATGAGCATAACGCTTTCAGGAGGCAGCTCCTCACAGATTGTTGCCATCACCTGCCCGAGAACGATATTTCGACTTAGCCACTTACAAAAAAACTACGAAAGATCAATCGAGGGATAGACCCATGTTCCAAGTAAAAGATGATACGAGTGATTTGCAAAGAGCTAGATATGTGAAAGTTTTATTAGTGCAGCAATCCATGTTCACTAAATTTTAATGAAATAGAATATAGATAGCTAGCGACAAAAAATGCATCAATCATACAGTCAGAGCTGCATTACTACAAGGAGCCATGATTAATCTGTACCAGGAATCAACAATTCTTCAGAGAGACGGAGAAGCAGCAAGATTAACCCCAAAGAATAAACATATATGCTTTACCACAGGCATAAATAGGTGATCATGGTGGATATTTAACAGCATTGCAGCTTACCGCTAACAGCTGTGTAACAGAAGGACGATAAAGGACAGCTTTCCTAGGGTTTGGTGGCAGAGTCGGATCAATCAAATCAGCGGCCAGGTTTATATCTATCAGGCCAGAAGCTTCAGAATGATCCACTGCAGAGCCATTTTCTTGTGGCGCAACAGGAAAGTTTGGATAGACTGATTCAACAGTTTGTTTTTGATAGAAAGATCCGCTTGATTCCCATTCCAAAAATTGCAGCATCCTGTGTGTGTCCAGAGTAAGCTCAGCAAATTTGACCTGCAAGAAGAAAATGTTATATGCAGCAATGAAATCTTCAGAGGGAAAGTTCCTGGCCATCACACTCCATAAATCTGAAGTGGATGATTAGTGCAACTAACATTGGGAGCTATGCACCTCATTCCGATGGTAGCTCGTTAGGATTGCATTTTTGAACTTCAGAACCTTCTTTGCATGGAAACGAGCCACATAAGGCCGAGAAGCTGGATGTGAATCAAACAGCGCACAGTAACGTACAGGCCTTGAACTCTTATAAGCAGTCTCAATTTCCATAAAGCGGACAATTTCTTGTACTACAAGCTTCCACTCTTTAAAGCTTGCCTCCTGCTATGGAATAAAATAGGTATGATCTTGGTTGTGAATCCACCAAACAGTTGTTACACAGTAAAAATAAATGCATTGGCCCCGCAGGTATTTGCTTCAATGGCCAACAATCTGAAACTTCCAAACACACGACACTGCAATTAAGATTGAGTTTTGGTTCCAATTTTATCAGATGTCCCCAAAGGGACATATTCATATTTGGTTTGAATGTTGATGAAGAATTTGTTTTCCCCATTTCAGGAATTTGAAAGCATTAGGGATCATTCCTCCTAATGGAGATATAAATTTCTCTCGCTAAGTTAGAAGATCTAAGCTTTTCCCCCTCTGTAATTCTTCATGTATCCTTTCTCGTTTACTACTCACGTGTCTGATTTTATCTATATTTGCTTTCCAGAAAAAACTCCATTGCAACGTTTACCATCCAATTTACTCCCTTGATAAAAGACAGTTTGATAGAACTAAGAATCTCAAAGCCAATGGAAGGTTGAGGTATTTCAAATTCAGTATAACATATGAGAAAACACCCTTTAACTTATTGTATTTATATTGTGTCTATTCCGACCATTCATCCAGAAATCAAGAAGCCAGATACAGAAAGAATACTTTGACACCCAAGAACTACAAAGAAAATACTGGACTTAAACTACATAAATCAGTCAATCAAAATTAAAGAAAATGGATTCTTATCAATTGCACTAACCAACCAAAGGGGAGGGAAAAAAAATACACAGAACGAGTGTTTCATGTAGCTAAAGTCTTCCCACGTCTCCTAACCAACAGCTTGAACTGAAATCCAAATTCTCAACTGGTTTCCCAATACATCCTATACCCGACAGTCTGATTCTCAGGCCGCACACTGTACAGCGTATAATCTGGTAATTATTACTTGAGTTTAAAGCCATGTAACCGAGCCAGCCTATAAGATCTTAGAGCACTATGGAACCCCTACATAATTGGTAAAATGCAGAACAGTTAACAATCAGCACAACAAATTGGGAGAAGAAGGTGAAAGGTAAATATGGCTGCAGACACATTCAGTTACCAGCTATCAGGCTGTTAGAAATGTTCAGACTTTTCAACAAAAAGTAAATTAAACAAGTCTACAGCATCGATCTATGTTAAGCATGAGCTCAAATCCAGAAACAGAACAGTTTTTGCACACAATACAATGGCTCCATACATAAACTCAGGAAGAACCAATTTCTTATCAATAACTACTGAACCGACGTTGACCAAAATTTACTGAGAACCAGGGAAGGGGGAAAGGACATGGAAATTAGGAGAACTACAACACAATGATAACACAACCACAGAAGAAATGAAAGAGACATAAAGGAGAGACGCGTTTCTTAAACAATTGAGACGCCAGGAGAAAACAATGGAGCAAAACCAAACAAGAAAGCATATTCAATTCATACCCGAAACTTGGACTTGCTATCATCGACGACGGCTCTGAACCTCTCAACCAGCAATTGAACCATCTCATGACGGTTCAAGATCAAAGAAACCAGCAGAAACCGTGCATAAAACCTGAGCTCCTTGAATCTCACCCCGAGATCCTTGGCGTTGGCCCCGTCGAAGTACCTCCGGCGCAGAATCGCCTCGTAGAAGACATACGCCTCGACCAAGAACCTGGCCTCGCTGGTCCTCATGTACTGGTTGAAGTAGAGCTGGCCGATCCGGCTAGCGATCTCGCCGATTTCCCACCGGTTCAGACCAGCGGCGACCAGGTCGGACCGGTTCTCCTGCTGGTACTTCCACAGCCTCATATACGCCTTGAATACCTTCTGAAAATAGTGGGCGTGACCCCGCCCGTATGCCGGGAGGTCCCGCACCCGCGCGAACTTCCTGTCCGCGCTCTCCACCAGAGCGCGGAAGGTCCGGGAGGCGACACCACTGCCGCCGGTCTCCTCCTGCTCCTCCGCCATATATCACATAACCGAAATCCCAATCAGAAATTGAAGCTCCCTCCAGTCATCGGAAAATGGAGCGAAACAACTACTTGTTTGACTGCCGCCGAGCGAGGAGAAGAGAAAAGGAGCCTCTTCCTCTCTCTCTCCCTCTCTCTCTCTCTCTCCTCTGGTGGGGAATGAGCTGTGGGTGATGGAGACGGAATCTCAGCGCGAGCTGCGCTGCGAGCTATAGCTTTGCAGGGAGAGAAATGATTAATAATGAAAAGGGCTCCTCTGTTTTGACAAAAAAGAAATTTCGGGATTTTTATTAATTTCAGCGACTGCTACTTCCTCACAGTGGCGGCGTGAGAGAGAGAGAGAAAAGAGGAGAGGAGGAAGACTGGCGTGGCGTGGGGGAGGACTGAGGAGGAAGGAGAAGAGAGGAGAGCTGGTGTGAGGGTGATGTATTGCCAGGTAATTGTGGACCCGAGTTCTGGGCCGTTGGAATTTTTATACAGATCGATCGAACGGCGGAGCGGTGAAGATTGTTAGATTGCTTTTTTTTTTCTTCTTTTAGTTTTGGTTATCCTGTCCTTGTATTTTTCATTTATTCCAATTTCATGCTCGAATATTTCTGATTTCTCCGGCTAGTTGTTGTTGTTGTTGTCTACGAGGAATGTTGAAGAGGGCGACTGTGCAGTGTGAAGACAGTCGGATATTTTTTTCTGTACAAACGGATTTTGGGGCTAATTTCTGGGAAATTCTCCTGTGTATAAGTTTTTATTATTATAAAAACGGGGGGTGGGGAAAGCCTTACAAATAATCACTGAAATTATAATAATAATAAATTGATTCTAGCTCGTGCTTGAAACAAAGGTATGAAATCAAATCCTTTCCACATAGTTCATTTGTTATGGTAGCTAAGAAAATTCTCAAAAGTCTATTGGGGCAGTTAGGAGGCGAGCAACTAATGTATAATTGAGGGTTAATTTTCAAAATATTGTTTTTTTATTATTTACCATGAATATAGTGGTTTTACAAAATTTTGATACAAATATTGAGTTTTGAAAGGTAGGAGAAGGCAAATCCGCATGAGCTGTGAAAATAGCCTCACCACAAGTGGACCCGCCCCAGTCTCAAGCGAATGCGTCACAGCAGGCGGACACGCGCCAGTTTTAAGCGGATTCACTAGCTTATCCTATATGTTCGTTGGCTTGTCCTATCTTTTCGTTCGTCTTCTTCACCCCGCTTCCAACAGAGACCCAAAACCTGCTTCCACTGGCTCACGCGGGTCCGCCTAAAAAATCCTCCTCTAAACCTCACTCTCAAGCGGAATTCCTCATCTCTCGCGCGGAATCGCTCTTTCTTGCGCGGAACCGCTGTCTTCTCACGCAGATACTCTCTTCTCTCTTGCAGAACCGCTCCAGACCAGATCTAAGGCGGAAGGATGTCTGACTCCGACAAAGAGGAAGCTGGAGCCGGAGGAAGAAGGGGCCGTGGACGGGGGCAGATCTACGTTCAACTTAGGGTGGGCCCCGATCCCTAGGACGTGAAGTTTATTTTGTAAAAATTTTATGAGTATTACGTGTTCTGTAAATTCTATCGCATAATAGTTATGTGGTCTAATGGAAATCAAACTTGACTTGTGTCTTTGAGTAATGGGTGTACAAATAAAAGGCCACCTCTTTTTAATTAGTTTAATTAATTCCAAGTCCCAAAACCTAATGGGATGCTACTACAACTTTAGAAAGAATGAAGTAAAAAGACGTTGTGAACTTCTAAAATAATCATACTTTTTTTATTTAATTATTTCCTCCCCTCCCCCGTCTTGAAATCCTGGCTCCGCCCCTGTCCGTGGAAGAAAAGGATGGCAAGCACGCGACGATGAGGTGGTGGCGGCGGCGGCCGGTGACGAGGTGAGGAAACTCGTCGGCAGCGAGCTTTTTTTTTAATTAATTTTTTGTAATAATTTTTTTTTTGTTTTTCAATTCCTAGAATTATGGATACTTATTCCACGAGGCGACCACCTACGACAATTGATCCAGCTCCAATCGATTAGGTACTTCTTTGGGCACATGGTCAACATTGTGCAGACTCAGTGTGTGTGGTGTCCTTACTTTGAGAGAGTCGAGCACCTCAGAGGTACTTTGATCCAATCAAATACGTTTCGAGCAGTAATTCCACTTATATGCTTTTTAGCGGTGATGTGGCACTATCCAGATCGCATGCTTCGACAGTTTGGCATGCTACTAGATGAGCCTCATCAGCAACATAGTCAGGCCGATGTTAGGTTTTTCCTTCGCCAGACAACTCATGGGCCATCGAGTGGGCAGCGGTTGCTACACGCCTCCAGAGAGTCTCTTCATTTGTGGAGCCATCGACATGAGTTCATAGTGACTATGCCATACGGTGATGAGACTTTAGCCTACCACTCGGAGCATTTGCAGTGGTATCGAGATGTTACCAGACATTCAGGAACACGGAAAGGTGTTGCAGTGAACGCAGCAGTTAGTTATTGATTATTTCATATTTTTGTTTTATTTGTTTTGAAATTCGTAGTTGTGTTAAATCTTTGATATTTTAAAATTAATTTTCAGTACGACACCTTAGAGTTCGCTGCGCTGAGTTTACAGGAGATTGCTAATTTAGGTTTGGATGATCGTGACATCCTGATGTGATGGTACCTGTACAACGGCCTCTCCGACTTCCTAATCATGTGCACATTAGGATGGAGAGTAGGGCCATTGTGCTTCTTTCAATCCCAGGTTCACCAAGAGGTGTGAAACTTGTCTCATAACAAGCCAATACTCTTTCAAGCTTGTAGATATCTTTTACAAATCTAGACGGGCTAGCCCCCATTCGGTTGCAAGCTGCAATGGAATGAGAGTAAGGAATTTTATTTCTTTGGAATTTTCTACAAGTGCAAAATCCCGCCCGATTGTTGTCGTCGAAGTGCACTATGAGTGTGTTTGAACCCATCATGTTGAAATTGTTGGGAGGAGTCTGAACTACATAGATGCCTTGACGTCGATCAACCCCAGTCACAAAATTTCCAACTGCCTTTTGTGCCCACGGCTTCATCAGTTCTTTGCATGTCTTGGTGTACTATGAATGACCATTTGTGATTTGTGCTTCTGTCTCCAACCTCATCTTATCAAATTTCTCCAATAATCGCCAATACGTATCAAGCCTTCTTGTAAGTAACTTGCATATTAAACTTATCTTTCAACCCGACCTGCACAGTTAGAACACTCAAATTTGGTTGGGCAGTACTAAATGCTTCACAAACTCAGATATAACGTCGGCATCAAGACGATGATGATCCATCGGTTGCGTCTACTGCTACAAGAATGCACCAACTCGGCCTTTCTCACAGTTTATTCGCTTCCAACATCTCGACATTTAAACCGCACCATCCAAGCAAAATTTTCACCCTAGTTCTTCAAGCATTTGACCTTCCAGATTAAAGGTGTCGACTCCACCACGACACACTGAAAGTTGCATTGTAGTGCGTGGTATTTAATCACCACCTGTGCAGCTTGTTTGGAGTGAAATATTTGTCCCTTGTAGAATTCTCCTTCGAAACCAGCACCAATAAGCATTGGAATTACGCCATATGAATCAACCTATGATAATTCATCATCCACTTCACTACCCTGCAAGTAAAATTTTGGAGGATAATTAGACTCTTCTTCCCCTTCCTCCTCCTCCTCCTCCTCCTCTCCGTCATCATAGTCATGATCGGATGGCACACTCCATGTCTCATCTTCACCCTGATCTTGACTAATCTCAGCATGTATCTTAGCACCCAAACAATAAGGGTTTTGCCATAAAATCGAAAAGCACATTCAAGCTATCATCATCCACAATAGGCATCGCATAATGAAATAGAACATCATCTTGCCATTCTAGAAGTTTGTAAGTGAAACCTGTGATCGTATCACTATCTTGTACTGCTTCGACTTTACGTCGTATCCTCGGAACTAGATTCTCAAAAAATTGGTGATATGTCACCCTGCATGGAACTGTTAACTGAAAGTTTCTACCACCAACGAAATGGACGCCCAAATTGTCCTCTACTTTCTCTGATTTCCACCGAACGACTAGTTCAAATCATCTAAAATCACTACATAAAAAATTCACTAATTACTAAGTAAACAAAATCATAATAGCATTTTAAGAATATAACTAAAAAATAAATATGTTTCTTACCTATTAGCCATCTTTGCAGTAGAGCTCTTCTTCGCTTAACTTCATAACATCTGTTTTTTGTGGTGAGCAACTAAAAGACAGAGAAATCGTTTTTAATAAGGTGTTGGGTGGGTGGACAAGGCGGCGAATCTGCGTTAGACCGGCGCAAGCGCGCTGCTCCGCCAATTTTCAGAATCTTTCTTTACCCGCAACGACAAAATGAAAAGAACAAAGTGCAACCGCATGAGACTCGGGCGAGTACGCTTATTCCAAATTGAAAAAGCTCTAAAAAGCGAATATGCCTGAGTCTCATGCGGTTGCGCTTTGAATTAGGCATATTTTCTCAAACAGACTCGCGGTTATTGTCCTCCAAACAAAATATTTGTGCCAGTAGTTTTAAACCCACTACATTCGTGGTAAATAAAAAACAATATTTTGGGAATTAACCCGTATGATTGATTTCTTCTTTACAGAACACCGGATGTTTTGGGTTGAAAATTTGAAACAAAATAGTACATAATAGAAGTGATAAATGAATTGAATCTCTAGATTGGTGATTGGATTGGTGAATTCATGAAAATGGTTCAGGAACTTGTAGTTTGGATTCATCGATCCAAGTGACATAAAAAATATGGATCGTTACGAAAATTTTAAAAAGTTTAGGATATACAAATGTCATTTTAAAAAAGTTAGGTACCAATATATAAATTTTGAAGAATATTTGTCGTAAAAATTGAGTTTTAGGTATCAAATCATAAACATTAAATAAGTATTAAATTTTATTTTTCCAACAACCCATGTTGACCAAATTGAATTTGAATTAAATGGTTTGAATTAATTAGATATTTTAATTAATGAATTGGATTCAAATTGCTACCTCTAGTATGTAAAAGGTGAATTATCAACTAATCTTGAATACAACTAGGATCTTACAATGCTAATAAATCTAGGGCTGCATCTTAGATGTGAGTATATATAGTTCATGTTGCTTATCTGATAAATATGATATGATCTCCAACGGTTAGGGACATTGGCATAGCCTATTTCTATACTATCCTACATCCCAAGTAGAGGGATAAATGGATTGAATTCATGGATTGATAGATCCATGGATTGAGTGGATTGGATCAAATGGATTCACGAATTCATGGATTGTATCATATGGATTCGTGGTCTGATCCATAGATCTAAATGACATCCAAGCTTTACCAAATGTTAATTTTAAAAAGTTTAGGTACTAAAATATCGCAAGAAAAAAGTTAGGTACCAAAATGTTATTTTCCAATGGCATTTTTGGTTTAAAAATAAATTGTACGTACCAAAATGTAAAATATAAAAAGTATAGGTACTAACTCGTAATTTGTCATTTGGATCCATGGATCAATGCATGAATCCACCAATCCAATTTGGTTTGGATCAAATGGATTGGAAT